CACCCCTGCAGAGCTGTCCACAGCCAGTCAGGAGCAGTGAGGCAGCGTGCGCGAAACTGTTTTCCTTAAACTCTGGGTTCTGGAAAGAAGCCAACGGCTGGGCTTGTGGCAATTTTTGGTGGAACAGTAAAACATAAAGGAAAACAAGGAAAGTACAGAAAGAGGCCTAAACTATCAACGTGCAACACAGCAGTCACTCCTTATCCGAGTGGGGTGAAGTTTTAGACACACCCTTCCCATCCCTGGATGTTTGAAACTACAGATCACGTCAAGCCCTACAAGTACTATGCTTTTGCCTCTGTATTCACCTATCTGTGGTGAACTTTCGGCTTCTCGTTTCACACATGGCCCACCTTCTCTTTGGCATGTGGTAACTGTCCACTGCTCTTTGGCATCGGGGCTTTCTTGTAGTTTTTCTTGAAGGCAGACACAGTGGTACTGTGACTACTAAGTGATTAAGGGACATATGGAGTGTATGGTATGGCTAAATGTGACAAGGAGAGGATTCAAACTCAGTACAAAGTTCTGATCAGGGTGGCATGAGATTTCTGCCAGCCACTAAGATGAGCATGTAATTTAAAATATCTGAACTGAGAACCAGGCATGATAGTGCCCATCTAGGAGACTGAGGAAAGAAGATCGTGAGGTCAAAGCTAGCCTGAGGATCCATAGGGAATTCCAGGCCAGCCTAGGCAGTGTAGCAAAATCTTGTCTAATCAACCATTCATCCAACCAACCAACCAACCAACATAAAACAAAACAAAACGTATGAGTTGCTTACTTCTGGAATTTTCCATGTAATATCTTTGGACTACAGCTGACAGTGTTGGACTTTTTGTCACTATGACAAATACCCAACAGAAGAACTTAAAAAAGCAAAGATGGGTTTTAATTCACGGTTTGAGAGGTTTCAGTCCATTGTGGCAGGGTGGGTGGGTGTGGGGGAGCAACTCACATCATGGTGACCAGGAAGGAGCTGGCTTTCTACCCCTCCCCCTTTTCCTATTAGATCCCAGCCTATGCTATTGTGCCTTGCACACTCTGGGCAATTATCCCTGATTACTTAGTCCTCTTTGGAAACACCCTCACGGTTGTACCCCGAAGTGGGTTTTCCTAACCTGCTAGCTGCTGGCCCAGCCACTTAAACTGATGATTGACCATCACACTGACCGTAGGTGATGCAGAAAACACAGAAAGAGAAAGCACGGATAATAAGGGGGATGCTGTGGCATTCTGAAATGACAAAAACGTTCTCCACTGACGTCCTATATGATAGCCATTGGCTGTGTGTCACGGTTGAAGTAGAGCGTGTGGAGGGCCTTGAGTTTTCCATTTTATCTTCTCTCAGTGACTTTAAATGTAAAATGCCACACTATCTAGTATCTATCATGGTGGCTGGTGTCAATCTCTATCTTGTGGGGTGAACGGATGGGGAGGAAGGAGATGAGTTTGGGGCAGGAATAGGAAAGGGGTAACTGAGGAACACCCCCAAGTCCCAGTTATCTGGAAAGGACACTTTATAAAAATGTTATCCTCATAGTGAGACCCTGGAGTCCCTTTGGTCTGTGATCTCTTGGAGTCTTGGGCTGTCCTAGTCACTGTTCTATTGCTGTGAAGAGACACCATGACCACAGCAACTCTTATAAAGGAAAGCATTTGATTGTGGCTGGCTTACAGGTTTAGAGGTTTAGTTCATTGTCATCATGGAGGGAAGTGTGGCGGCAAGCAGGCAGACATGGTGCTGGAGAAGGAGCTTGAGAGTCCTACATCTGTATCCACAGGCAGCAGGAAAAGCAGGAAACGGCCTGGCTTGAGCATTTGAAATCCCAAAGCCCATTCCCAGTGACACACTTCTTCCAACAAGGCCACACCTACTCCAGTAAAGCCACACTCCCTAGTCCCTGTCAATGAGCACCACTCCCTAATGACCAAGCATTCAAATGATCCATGGGGGCCATTCCTAATTCAAACCACCACAGGGGCTAACACAGAAGGTTCTTTTCTTATGATCCCATAGCTGAACCTAGTTCACGCAGCAGAAAGCAATTTTGACCCAGGCTGATATTAAAAAGAGAGATATCAATTTTTTTTCCACTGCTGCATTTCGCTTAATTCTTCCCACAGGAAACTCTAAAAGAGCCAGACCCCAACTGCAGGGCCAGAGGGAAGAGCTGGGATTGGAACTCAGAGCTGACTAGCGTCAAAGCTCCCAGACTCTCAGATCTGTACAGTCACCTCTCCGATCGGGAACCGAGCTTCCCCTGAGTCAGAACCTGTTATTAACTTGCCGAGTGGTATTGAGAAAATAATTGAATTTCTCAGAGCCTTCTCTGTCAAATGAAGGAGTGAGGCAGCCCCTGAGATGTCCAGGTTTCTCCTAGCTTTGGAATAGCATGTGGCGGAGGCAGTTAAAATCCTCCCTAGGCACCAATCCAAGCTGCGTAGGAAGTGGGGCGCACTCTCTGTAGCCAACTTTTCTTTGACTTAATCACTCCTGCCTTTAGTCTGTTTTATTTATTAATATTATCATCACCGCTATAACGGCTTTTATTTTCTGCGGTGTAGCCTGGGTCACCCTCCAGGGAAAGCGCTATCAGTGACAGCCAGTTCTGAGCAAGTGTGGAGGGACCAAGTCATACAACCCACACTGAAACAGAGAGCTCCTGCGACTCACCTCCCGGTCTTCTTTCCCCCACCTGTGGTGATATTTTATTTGTGCTGAAATGTGGTGATATTTTATTTGTATGTTAATAAATAAAGTTTGCCTGGAGATCAGAGGAAACAGCAAGCCATTAACACAAAAGTCAGGCTGTGATAGCACACGCCCTTAATCCGATCACTTGGCAGGCAGGGTCTCTGTGTGTTCAAAGCCATACTAGGGAACAGAGCCAAGCGTGGTGACACACGCCTTTAATCCCAATACTAACCATAGAGTCCTGGAGGTCTGTACAGGCAGGCAGTGACAAGGAAGTGAGGTAGCTGGGCTAAGAGCCAATGAGAGGGCAGAAAAGCAAGGTAATAAAGACACGGGTTAGACAGGAAGCAGCTCGCATTTTGGAAGCTACAGAGCTGGTGAGGTAAGGTGGTTGGTGGCTCTCACCATTTCCCTGATCTCTAAGGCTTTCACCCCTGTATTTGGCTCCATGTTCTTTATTTAATAAGACCGCTTAGAAGTTCATCTACACCCACCCACCCCTTCCTCACTTTATCATTTCCCAGACTCCTCCTCTCCCTCATTTCTGTGTTTGTTACTTCGCTCATTGAAGTGATAACACAGCTGACAAATACAACTTAAGGAAGGAAGGGTTTGCTTGGCTTAGGGACCAAGGATGCAGTCCCTTGTGGTGGAGGGAGTCATGATGGCAGGAACAGGAGGTCACAAGACATCCATCGTTGGGAAGCAGAAAGAAGATGCACATTGGTGCGCAGCCCGATTTCTCCTTTTATTTATTCCAGGACACAGCCCATGGGATGGGCTCCCCACCTTAATCCACTCGAGACATGCCACCTGGAGGCTAGTCTCCTAGAAGATTCTAGATGCTGTCAAGTTGACAATCAGTATTGACCATCACATCCTCTTTCCTCCCTTTTTTTCTCCAACATTGCTTCCACCCTCTCCCGCACCTTGTACTTTTCCTTCTATTCTTGCCTTCTTTTACTCAAATCCTGGGATCCCTGGTGACCTGGTTTTACACTCTTGCCAAGCCACAGAATGGGCAGCCCTGGGAGTGGAGGTATACACAAAAGCTGGAGGTGCCTGCTCCCACAAATTTCTCCAAAGAAATGGAGTCCCCCATAGAGGAATAGCTTTTGTTGCTCCCTGAAGGTAAAAAGAAAGATAAAACCCTTTCATCCTGAGAAATAAACATTCTAACCTAAGTGGTCCACAAAAGCATGTGCTCTGGGTAATGCACTTACTCCCAACCGATCTCAGAGAGACCTCTCTCTCAGCAAGAAGCTGATGAGTGGGACCCAAGTCTGTGGGCAGCTTGTAGCTTTAGTGGGGGATCCTGGATTCTTCCACCCACAATCCCCTGCTTCCTTAGTGTGGTACCTTTCTGTTAGATCTCAGTGAGGCTGTTGCCCTTTGGGCTGGAGACATGTGTGTTTGTATCTCATGAGCGCTTCTGATTTAATTACTCATACCAAGATATTAAGAGAGAGTAACATCCTTAGGAGGGTGCTCCTGCAGGGCAATCATGTCTGCAGGCTCTCCCCAGGCTCCATTCTACAAAGAACCCTTTTTAGAGTTCAGACCTTCGGCTCCTATCCTACCCTCTTTGCGCTTGGTCAGAAGTACCTGAGAGGCAGGAGAGGGGGCAATGGCCTGGAAATGTTTTCTTTAAGTTTTCAAGGCCATTGCTGAAACCAGGCCTACATCTGTGTTCCTGGCTGTCTCCTCATCAAAGCCAAGGCTTTCATCTGTGAAATGAGAATAGAATACCTCCCTCACTGTGGATCTCATGACTAAACAAAATGATGGACTCTCCTTGGTCTTGGAGTCTGGTTAGCCTGGACACTAGAGGATGGACCCAATGACCTTGTCAGGTTCCTGTCTTTCTTGGGCATCTATAACACTAGGGAAGCCCGAATCCTGCAGTGACCACACACTTGGATGGGGTAGGTGAACTTTAATAGCTTATTACTTGTGCACTGACAGGTGACGAGGCCCCCAAGCAATTCTGAGACCTTCAAGAGAAGCTGCCAATCATGGGTTTCTCTTTAGCACCCAGAGCAGCTCATCAGGCATCACATATCAGTTTCCAGTTGTTTCCTGCTGACTCGGTTTTCACGGTGATGTGGTGTGGATGGGTTGAGGCTGATGAGCTGGGAGGAGGGGGGCAAGGGCAAAGGAAGCATTGTCACATTTGAGTAATGTCGACGCTCAGTCAGGAACAAAGGCACTTGTTATGCAATACACAGAATAGGAAGGCCAACCCAGGGCAGCAGCCCCAGATCCTGGCACTGTACAGCGAGGCTTTTGCCAAAGGGAGGTAAAACCAAACAAACTTCAGTTTCCAGACTTAGAAGAGGCTAAGGTAGAAGAGGCTGGCCAGCCTTCCCAGAGAGTGATTTTATTCCAGTCTTGTTTCTGTTGCTGTGACAAAATACCACAACCAAAAGCAGCTTTAGGGAAGAAACAGTTCCAGATTTATTTGCCCATCTTGCAGGGAAGACAAGGCAGGAACTTGAAACATCACGTCCTTGGTTAAGAGCAAGAGAATAAATGGATGGCTTCTTGCTTGCTTTCTACTCATCTAGATTTCTTCTGTCCTATACAATCTGGGAACCCCTACCCAGGTATTGGGTCTACCTACAATGGACTGGGTCTTCCCACACTAATCAGCAATCAAGACAGTCCCCTAAAGACCAACCTGATCTAGGTAATGTTTCTATTGAGGCTCTCTTCTCAGGTAATTGTCAGCTACAGTTGAAGCCAACCAGCATAATTGCTTTCACTGTCTACCCCTTAGGATTGTTGTGGAAAATGATTCAGAGTTGGGGGGCAACAGATAGGTGATACGGTCACAGTACTATAAAGAAGGCAAATGGCAGGGTGCTGCTGAGCTCAAAGAATCAGGTGAATCATGAGGACTGAGGCTGCTGTGGATAACTCCAGTTGACAGATGATACCTGGGCCCTAACCTTAACCTTTCTTGGAAGCCATCTCTTCTCTTTCTCCCCATCTCCTCTGAAGTGTTGGTGGGACCCAAGGGTGATGGAGAGTAGGGTGACCGCAGCTACTTGCTCGTGGTGAAGGCAGAATGTGAAGTTTCAGTGGAGTTGGGTATTCTTCATGGAGGGCTATAATGAGAAATCCACGGGAGTCTGATTAAAGGGTAAAAGGAATTTATTAGGAAAGAAAACTCACTAAACAGAATAGGAGGCAGGATCTGAGGTGCTGTCCCACGCTGTTCTGCTGCCTGAGTCAGTCTGCACTGTCCAAGCCCCCGAGGGAGAGAAAAGAACTTTCTGTGCCTCTCTGGTCTCAAGGGTAGCCATAAGGCCATGCCCCAGGGGCTGGCACTTCAAGGTCCTAGGTAGAACAGATATTCACTACAGAGGGCAGACTCTAACCTGAAGTTCTATGAGCACTCAAGAAGAAACTGGTTCTCCTTCCCCCAGGGAAAGAGAGTGGTGCGCTGCGGCAAAATTGCCAGGGAAACCCAGTGAAGGTTTCTTGTCTGTGAGGGCTACTGAATATGTGAGACAGGAAGTCAAAAGGTCTGACTTCTTTAGAAAGGAATAAGGTGGAATACAGTGTGGGAAGTTTTCGGAGGCTTTCCCTCCATCTGAGATATGATGGTGCCTCACCTGGTAGGTGAAGGGATGGGGAAGGACCTCTTTGATTTCTGGGTTTCTCAGTCTGGAGGCACATGGGTATATCTCCTGCCATCTAACTCATCCAACCAGGCAGAGTGTAGGACAGGGCTGAACCATGGCATGTCCCAGAGTGGAACATTCGATCTAAACATGCCCAGAACTAATTTATGGAAACGGGTAGGTTACTACTTTCTGGTTCTCATGAATAACATCTGAGCTTCATATCGCCTCTCTATCCACTTTGTCCCTGAGAAAAAGCCAAGCTTTTCTTGCTCCAGTCTTGGCTTCTCTTCTGTCTCTCTTCTCCTTTTCCTTCCTCCTCCTCCTCCTCCTCCTCCTCCTCCTCCTCCTCCTCCTCCTCCTCCTCCTCCTCCAACTGCTGTCTCTCTTCAGCTCTTTCTCCCCCCTCCCCACAGAGTAATTAAAATCTGTCTCTGAGCTCAGTCCCCAAGCCCTGATGTCTTCATCGGCACAGTGCACACATGAACCATTTGCCTGAATGAATCAGGGCCAATTATTACCAGGACACTGTTGTGATAGGTTCTTCCCTTGGCTTCCAGCCATTTGAGCTGTTTAAAGGCTGCATTCCTCAGCTGCACACAGAGATAATAAAAGATGAAGAAACAGGAGGCTCTTGGCCTGTGGAAGAGAAAGCAGGGAAGGCAGAGTGTTTCCCTCCTTTCGTCTCTGAGGACTAAGAAGACATCATGATACTGTTGCCAACAGTGACACGGTTGAGCATCTATAATGAATGGTCTGCACAGGAAGATGTGATAATGACTGTTGTCATCCTTGCTGAGCATCTGCTGTATGAACTCAGATACTAATAACATGGCTTTTGCCTGTGAACGCTGCCGGTAGGCACCTAGCTCTATCACCATTCACTCTTCCACCTCTTTTACAAACAACGAGTGAAGCATGTGCCTTGCCCCACAGATAGTGGAAAAGCCAGATTCTCAAACCCACATTTTCTGGCCCAAGTCTTTCTAGTAATTTAGCTATCTGCTGTTCTCCTGCTGGCCCCTGTAAGAGTTGGATTCTCAACAAATAAACCCCATTGCCATCACCAGATCCAAACTCCATTGTCAACCCCGTTCAATGGTTGGCTCTCCCCATCAGCTTGCTTTCCTGGTTTGACTCCAGGGTTCTTTCTTGCCTCTGCCCCTGGCCTCAGGGTCAGTGGCTCTAGTTACCCTTTGATGCCTCCTCCTCTTCCTCCTCCTTCTCCAGTTGGGTTGTAGGAATGACTTAGAAGATAAAGTTGCTTAACTACTACTAGAGTCTTCACAGGAGAATGTCCTGTTTCAACCTTTCATTAGTCCTTTATGATGCTGTTATATACTATATCATTATTGAGACTGTACAATGATTTTTATAGTACCGGTTGACATACAGCATGGGGGAGTGGCTAAGAGTATGCGTGTAACCATGCAGCTGCAACTCACTGAACTGAAACACAGTGTCCCACAGATGAACCACCATTGAGCCAGCTGCCCCACAGGGGATGAGCAGCCAAGCTGCTTCCAGATTGTTTGTATTGTCACACATAGGACAATGAAATAAGTGAGAATGTTCTTACACAGAGGTGTTTTTACTTGATGGTTTTGGAATAGAGTCTCTAAAGAAGTTTTGAGTCAACATATAGAGTGTGCATCTCTCTCTCTCTCTCTCTCTCTCTCTCTCTCTCTCTCTCTCTCTCTCTCTCTCTCTCTGTGTGTGTGTGTGTGTGTGTGTGTGTGTGTGTGTCCGTGTGTGTTAAATGTCACTGTGGATGAGCTGGCTGCTCTTTCATTTGAAGCTCTTTGCTCTTTTCTGGGTGGGGAATTATCTAGTCACGAAATATCTAGAAATGAAGTCACACCATGGAAGAGCATTGTTTTTCTTTGCTGAAAAAGAATACTTGGTCATGGTCTTTCTCTCCAAACACTTGCAGTTTTTCAAACCCAGTGGCGACACTGAAAGTGCTTTACAGTGACTGTCTGGAAACCAGGGCATCCATCACTCACGTTTCCTGCTCTTGTTCCATTACATATGTGTCTATCTACCGAGCCTCCAGCCATCCACTACCCAACTGTATTAGTTTCCTAAGGCTGATGTGATAAAGGATCCAGGACTCGAACTTACTTGGCTCTGGAGGTTGGAAACAAATCACCATGGAAAGAGACAGATCAGTTTGTGGATCCTTTGTGCTATATGGCCATCTTCTCTCTTTTCTTCAGTTTTCCCAGTAAGTACATTTTCACTTCCAAGTTTTCTCTTCCTATAAAGACATCAGTTATATGGAACAGCAGTCCATCCTAAGAGTCTTGCTTTAACCTCAGGACCTCAATAAAGACTGTCTTCAAATAAGGTCACTTCTAGGATCCTGGACATGAACACATGAATTTGGAAGGGGGACAATCTTTAACCCTGTGTGTTGAAGAAACCATTTCTCCTCTGCTCTCACATCTCAGTAACTGACACAGAAGATCTTTGTGACTTGCCCATACCACCCCTAATTGTGGCCATTTCTTTCCACTGGCAGTCAGTTACCCTAATCCTTTTACAAATGGTTCTATAAATTGTATGCATGTATAATGTACCATGTGATGTTCCAGTGCATATATACTTTGTGGTTAAATCAAGGTAAGTATATCTATTTTATCAATCATTTATCTTACCTTTGTAGTAAAAAATTTAAAATCTTATCTTCTACTTAAAAAAAAGAGTATATAGTATTTTCATTATCAGCAGTCCCTGACCATACACTGAAATCTCCCAAACTGTGAATCAAAATAAAACCTTTTTTTCCTTTTAATTTTAACTCAGACATTTCATTACAATGGCAGAAATCTGGCTGATCCATCCTACAATCTATGAGATTTTGCATCGGTATGAAAATCTATAAACATAGAACTCTGGAATGCACTGTGAGACATGTCTGATGAGCAAATCTTACTCCTATCTGCATCACAAAGTGACATGTTATGGTATGAGACAAAGTGTTTCTTGTCATCCACAGTACCCTGATCATTGAGAAGCCATCACAGTCAAATCAAAGTGGCTGTCCTCAAGGAAACAGATGAGGAGGGGTGGGTTATGGTGGGCCCGCGGATCACTTAGGCAATGCAGTCGTTTGCACGGCATTAGTCTGTGAGCACAGGATTCTTGCAGCTGTCCACTGCCGTCTTCAGTGTTTGAGAGTCGCTGTTGTAGAAATCTTTCACCTCTTCCATTGGGGTTTATTTTCACTTTCCTTTTCTTTTCCTTCCTTTCTTTTTTTTTTAAAGCTAGTGTGCATGATATGTCCCCCCTCCCCCAGCACACACACACACACACACACACACACACACACACACACACACACACCCCATGATTTCATCCTCAGTAAGTGTGTTGGTAAAAGTAGAAAGGCACTGGGTGGTGGTGGCTCACACCCTTACTCCCAACACTCGGGAGGCAGAGGAGGCTGGCCAAACTCCGTGGGTTCAAGGACAGCCTGATCTACAGAGATACTTCTAGGAGAGGCTTCAAAGCTACACAGAGAAACTTTGTCTTGAAAAACCAAAAAAAAAAAAAAAAAAAAGTAGGAAGGCTACTTTTTTCTTTGTTTGTTTGTGTTTTGGACCAGGACTTACTCTATAGCCCAGGCTATCCTGGAAGTCACTCTGTACCTCACTACAATCATTCTGCCTCAGACTCTTGAGTGCATTACACGTAAGCCACTGTACCTGGCTTGAAAAACTCTCGGTTAAGGTATGCTGATTTTACATCCTATTACTTTGCTGAAAGTGTTTAACTGGTGGAGTTTTTAGGGTCTTTTAAATATAGGATCATATTGCTTGTCAATGAGGGAGGTTTTATTTCCACTTTCTTTTTCTTTCCCTTTTTTTTTTTTTAGCTAGTATACGTGATATGCCCCTCCCCCAGCACACACACACACTCCTCTTTTCCCATTTGTATTCCCATTATATTGAATAAGTACAGAGAGAGTGGGCCCCTTTGTCTCGCTCTTAATTTTAAATGGAATGCTTTTGGTTTTTCTCCATTTCATATGATGCTGGCAATGGATTTATTATACAGCCTTTATTATGTTGAGGCATGCTCTTTGTGCTTCTACTTTCTTTGGGGGCTTTTCTAGTAAAATGTATTGAATTCTGTCAAATGTATTTTCTGCATGATCCCTTTGATTTGAGAAGCCGTGTGGTTTCTAGCCCCAAGTCTGTATGCTGTACTACATTTATTGATCTATGGTATTGAACTACTCTTACACTCATGGAATGAAAACAACATGATCGTAGTGTGTGGCTTTTTTTTTTTAATGTGTTGCTGAGCTCAGTATAATAGTATTCTATTGAGAATTATTGCATTTACGTTCATCAGAGAAGTTGTCTATTAGTATTCTGTTTTTGTTATGACCTTACCCAGGTTTGATACCAGAATATTACTGTCCTTAAAGAATGAGTTTGACAGTTTATTTTTTTATTTTATTTTACTTTTATTTATTTATTTATTTTTTTGATTTTTCGAGACAGGGTTTGTCTGTGTAGCTTTGCACCTTTCCTAGATCTCGTTCTGTAGACCAGGCTGGCCTCGAACTCACAAAGATCCACCTGCCTCTGCCTCCCAAGTGCTAGGATTAAAGGCATACACCACCACCTCCCGGCTGACAGTTTATTTTTTATGAAATCATATGGAACTTGTATTTTTTTATTTAGCCTGGTAAGATTCTGTGGTGACCCTACCTAGGCCTGGGCTTTTCTTTATTGGGAGACTGTAGCACAAATCTTAAAAGGTCTTATTAATAAAAACAAACCTGGAGCCAGGTATTGGGGTGAGTGCTGAAAGATCAGAGAAACAGAGCCAGCCACAGCCACCTCACCTCGCCAGTTCCTCAGCTGATCCTGTTTCCTCAGACTGGAATCCTCTGAGTCCTCATCCAGAATGAATCTCAGCTGAACTGCTGCTAAAAGCTTAACCAGCTCTAGTTCCTGGTTTTCACACCTTATATACCTTTCTGCTTTCTGCCATCACTTCCTGGGATGAGTCACCATGCCTGGCTGTTTCCAGTGTGGCTTTGAACTCACAGAGATCCTGATGGATCTCTGCCTCCCAAGTGATAGCATTAAAGGTGTATGTGCCACCATTTTCTGGGCTCTATGTCAGCTAGTGGCTGTTCTGTCCTCTGACCCCAGATAAGTTTATTAGGATGCACAATATATTGGGGGACACAATATATCACCACAGGAGACTCTTGGTGACTGTTTCCATTCATTGCTCATTGTAGATCTCTTTAAGATGTTTATGTCTTCTTGATTTAATTTTGGTAGATCAGGCGTGTCTACAGATCTATCATTTCTATCCTTTTAGAAATCCATTTTCAAAGTATTCCCCAAAGAGTCTCTGGATTTGGTTGGCATCTGTTTTAATGTCCCACTTTAATTCTAATTTTATTAATACTAGCCTTTCCTCACTTTCTTTTAGTGAGTTTGGCCAAGGATTTGTCAAGCTTTTCAAAGAACCAACTTTTTTTTTTTAGTATTAGTTATTTTTGTTGTTGTTATTGTTGTTATGGCCAAATACCTTACAAGAAGCAATTTAATGGAGTAAAGATTTATTTTGGTTCATACTTTTAAAGCACCCAGACCATCATAATGGGAAAGGCTTGGTGGTGAAATGTCTGGGTCTTTGGCGGAATGAGCACGAGGTGAGGTGGTTTGCTCACACCTTGGCAGATCAGGAAGCAGCTATTTTGGGACATACCTGGAGTTAGCTATGACTCTCTGGCTCTATTCCAATGGCCTTCACTTGCCAGTTAGGCACCAGGTCTAAAAGATTCCATAACATCCCCAAACGGTGTCATCTGCTTGGGACCTGGTGTTCAACCACATGAACATTTCATATTTAAGCTGTAACACATTGGTTTCTTGATTCTTTGGGCTATTTTTTTTTCATCACCACTTCATTAATTTCTGCCCCGATTTTCAGTATTTCTCTCCATCTACTGATTTGGGTTTTACTCATTCTTTTCCCTTCCTTCCTTCCCTCTCCTCTTTCTCTCTCTTTCTTCATTATTAGAATTCAATAAGAGATTTCATCTGTGCCAATAAGTGCTCTGCCACTGAGCCACGTATTTATATCCTCAGCCCTCTTAAAATTCTTTTCTCAAGTTTGACTCAAGGTCTGACTAAGTTACACTTGGCCTTACTCTGTAATACAAGTGGGTCTTGAACTTGCAATCTTCCAGGCTCAACCTCCCAAGTAGCTAGAATTACTGGCCTGCACCACCAGGTCTGGTTTGTTCTTGCTTTGTTAAGGCCTCATGGTGTATATTTATCTATTTGAGTTTTTTTTTAAGGTGTAAATGCTTTTAGCTATAGACTTCCCTCTTAGAACTTGGTGAATCCCAACATTTCTGATAATTTGTGCTGTTATTTTGCTTTATTCTAGGATTTAAAATATTTCTCCTCAATTTCTTCAGTGACCTATTGATCATTCAAGAGTATATTGGTCAACTTTTCATGTATTTGTATAGCTTCATTACCTTATTTTGCTAATAGTTTCTGGTTTTATTCTACTATGATATAAGATACAAGAACTAATTTTGATTTTTTTCTTAGTATTTGTTAAAGTAATATTCCACAACAAGCCAGTGTTCTGGCTAAGTGTCTCCTGAGTACACTGAAGAGAGGAAGGAGAAAACATCATTGAGATCTATCTGTAAAAAGAGAATCAGTGTCTGTGCTTTCCAAGCCTACTCAGCAGCAAATACACTGCTGGAGAGCTGGGCTGTAGAAGTCAAGGAGGACACTGCAACTTCAGAGTTTTCAGTCTCACTGGTAATCAAATTTGTGACAAATAGGTGGTTCCTGTGACTTCAGGGTCAGGGCTATCAAATTCTACAGCTATTCTCAGGTATTGAGGTCAATGGCTTGCTACAGAGAATGGGGCTTCCAACCACTGTATCCTTCAAGCTGACCCCCAGGGCATCTGTACTTCTTGGTATGTTCACTACGTCTTCCAGACTGCTTCCCAAACCTGTGTCCACCCTATGGTTGGTTGACTTCAGTATCCTTGACTTGTGATTGTTATTGTTGTCAGGGTCTCAGGGTAGCTCAGTCTTAGATACTAGGTGTCTTCTCAAGAGGGTTTCTGAGGTTTCTATCAGTCTCCAATATACGGTGACAGATAGAATGAACCTCTTCTAGATTGCTGGCCCATTATGCTGGAGGACTTCTTTCCTAGGCAGGGGTCCTGGGTTCCTTTTACTAAATCTGCATAGCTGGCCTTTTCATTGTCATGCTGCAGAGCCATGGCTGAAGCCATGTTAACCTTGCTCATTTTCACCATCCTGTGCTTCTGTGCCTCTACAGTTACCACCTTTCCAACCACCCCTTTAATTATTCCCAGTGAGCTTGTCATTTTCTCTCTGGAGTAGAATTGATCATTTATTATCCTGACCCTTCTAATCTACTGTGTTACATGGACGCAGTATCTTATACCATGCAACCCCAGAAGCCTTGATTTCCATTTTAGCAAAACTCTTTAATGTCCGTCATAGTGGAAGACAGCTGTATTCCTAGATGCTGACAGTTTTTGATGGTATTACAAAATATGTAATTCATACATTTCATTTTCTATTAGTGGCTGGTATGCAAAATACCATATTTTGTATATAGCATGCTTACTAATCTTTTATTAATGATAGTAGTTTAATTGTAAACTCTTTCATAATTTCTAGGTACATAATAATTTTGTCAGTGAGCAGTGACATTTTATTTCTTCATTTGTAATCTTTGTATTTTTGATTTATTTTTCTTGCATTAATGCTCCAGACAAGATCTGCAATACAATGCTAGGCTGCAGGCATTAGTATTAAACATCTGTTTCTGTTTCCTAACATTCCTCTCTAGTGTTAAGAAAGCTCTCTTTCTGTGTTTTTCCAGGTAAATGAGTCTTTAAAATCATCAATAAATATTGCATTTTGTCAAGAGATAATTTCCCACTTTGTGATAATGTGTTTTTCTCCCCATCACTTTCCCCAATGGCTTTTCTTTCTTTTTATTTTTTTATAAAAAATTAGTTCAAATATGATTACATCATTCCCCCTTCTTTTTTTCCCTCCTACTCCTTCCATGCCCCCCCAGCTCCCCCCCAAATTTGTGGTCTCTTTTTCTTTTTCTTTTTCTGAAAATAGATTTTTTTCTCTCATAATATATCCCAATTACAGTTTCCCCTTCCTGTATGCCTTCCAATTCCTCCCCACTTCCCCTCCCATCCAGACACACTCCCTTTCTGTCTCTCCTTAGAAAACAAACAGGGATAATAATAAAATAATAAAATAAAATAAAGCCTGACACATTGGAATTTGACAAAACAAACAGAAGGGCAAGAGCCCAGGAGAATGCACAAGAGTCAGAGACCCACTGTTCACACACTCAGGAATCCCATAGAAACGCTAACCTGGAAACCATAAAATCGATGTGGAGGCCCCGTGCAGACCCTGCAGGCCCTGTGCACGCTGCCTCAGTCTCTGTGAGTTCCTGTGACCTTTGATCATGTTGGCTTGCAGGGCCTTGCTTTCTCCGTGTCTTCCATCCCTTCGGTCTCTTCTGCTCTTTCTGTCTCCTCTTCCACAGGGTTGTCTGAGCCCTGGTGGGGGAGGGGTTTGATGGAGACACTCTGCAGAGAGTAAGAGACCTTGGAACACTCAGTCCTCATTACCTCATCATAAAGTAAGTTACTTCGGTTTACTTTTTTTTTTTTTAACAATTTTGAATCAGTCTTTCATTTCTGTGTTATATTTATAGGGAGTACGTTTGCACAAATGGATGACAGAAAACAGCTTCTGATCGTCAGTTCTCTCCCTCCACCACGTGGGTTCTGGGGATCAAACTCAGGTCATCAGGCTTGGCTGCAGGTTCCTTCACCTGAGCCGTCTCATCAGCCCCTACTGCTATTTCTTAGATGCTTTTTGAAAATTTTTGAATCTGCTAATGAATCATGATTACATATAATTTTCCTTTTAAAAATTATTTCTGTCAACTTTTAGAATTAACATTCTGCCTAACTTGGGAATTCTTCTCCCTCTCTCTTTTTCTTCTTCAAGATTGTTTGTATAAAGGTTTATACTTTTTTCCCCCATAAATTGCTGGTAAACTTACAGTGCTGTCTAGTTTATGTCGTCAACTTGACAGGAGCTAGAGTCCTTTTAGAAGAGGGAACCTTGATTGAAAAAAGTAGTGGGCCAGCCTGTGGTATCTTTTCTTGATTGATGGTTGATGTGGGAGGGCCCAGCTCCCTGTGACCAGCGCCATTCCTGGGCTGTTGGTCCCAGATATCATAAGAGATCAGACTGAACAAACTATGAGGAGCAAGCCAGTAAGCGGGTCTTCCAGGGCCTCTGCATCAATTCCGGCCTCCAGGTTCTGCCTTGAATTCCTGCCCTGGCCTCCCTGGATAATCAACCACAAGCCGTAAGATGAAACAAACCCTTTTCTCCATAAATTGTTTTTACTCATTTTTTTTTAAATCACTGCACTAGAAATTTTAACTAAGACACCTACTAATTAAACCATCTGGATTTGGAATTCTGAGGGTTTTTTTTTAGTGCAAATTTAATGCCTAGATGGAATTATTCGGCTTTTCTCTGTAATTTATTCAACTCTATTGATATGAATGCCCATTGCTCTCTCTTTTTACTATTGAGAGGATGCCACAATAAACCTTTTATAAAGATGATTACTTACATCTTAGACACATTTTTATAAGGCAAGTTCTTGCCAGAGGAATTTATGGTCTATTTTGATCAGATTCTTTCTTCAAGAAACAGCATTGGGGGCTGAAGAGATGGATCAGTGATCACGATCACCGGCTGCTCTTGCAGAGAACTTGAGTTTGAGTCCCAGCAGCCACACAGACGCTCACAACTTTCTATAACTCCACTCTCAGGATTAGACACCCTCTTCTCATTTCCTTGGGTTACCAGGCACAGATGTGGTGCACAGACATACATACATGCAGACAAATCATGCACACTTTAAAAACAGCATTGAAAAAATGAATATCCTATGTATTAGTTATTGTATGTAACAGGTTACCTCACAACTTGGTGTCTTACCCTGGTTGCAGGACATAGAGCAGTCAGGCTGGAACTGGGCTGGGAGCTTCTTTCCTGCTGTCTAGACCTCACAGTATCAGACGATGCTATACAGGCTGTTTACAGAGAACTGTCATCAACAGTTTTACTCAGCTGTGGACCCTGTGGGCAGCTATACTGACCAGACAGGCAAGGTGTGCCCAAAGATGCAATAATGGCTAGTCTGTTATGGGGTAACCAACTACTTTCTGATTGGATTTGAGGCCTGATTCACAGGAAAGAGTTCACTTCTGGTTCTGTATACTCTGTCAAAAGACCATGCCGAGAGAGATCATAGACCCTAGTGAGGATCCTACTATTGTTTTGCTAAATAGAGACATGATGTGCCTACCAAGCTGCCTTCTAATTGACTATGCTTAGGATCATAGAATAGCATATTGGTGGAATTATTAAGGCAACTCCACGTAGTTAAAAGGGAGGTCTATTTTGGGGGGTAACTTACAAGTAAAGGGGTTGTTACAGGGTCTGGGAGAGGTGAAGTGCAGTCCAGCGGTGCTCTCTGGAGAACTCTGCTAAGTCTACCATTCAACATCCAGGATTACCAAGAACCAAGAGACCAGCATATTTGGATCCCGGGTCTTAAGGCTCCCATCTCGGCCCTGCCTCTGGGGCAGGCCATGAGTAGGCATGACAATTACCAGAAGCCTCAGTGAGGGTAGTACTTCCAGGTCAAAGCTGGAACAGCTACCCACTACAATAGCACTCCTGTCTGCTTCGGTCAGAGAAGCTTCTTTTTGCAGTAGGCAAAAATGCCTGCAGAGACTCATAACTGGTTAACGTAATTAGGAGAATGACTGTTAAATGCTCAGTCCTAAGTGGTTCATCTATATCACTCCCTCCAGGGCTCAGGGAACTTCAGAAGACAGGGCAGAAGGAATGTAAGAGTCAGAGGATGGGCAGGAAGTGGAGAATGCTGATTTACGAGCATGGCGTGTCTGTTACACTCTAGAATTCATAGAAGCTGTGATTAATCTGCACAAGGCCTGCACATAATTGAGCCTATCAGTAGCCTGTCATGCTATGGGTTGGGAATCATGGGGCTCAGCCCTCCCTGAGAATTTATGTGCAGCTCATGGTTGGTGGAGGGGAGAGAGAGAGATTTTCTTCTGTTGTGTAGCCACTGGGAAGGTACCTGTGCTTCTGCAAACAAATCCTTACCCATGCTCCTGTGAGAGGCCTTCATAAAATCCATCGGGTATGAAAGAGGAAGAGGGTGAGTCAGTAAAAGAAAGGGATCCATAGGAGTGTGAGGAGGACAAGAGAGAATATGGTGGTGGGAATAAGATGGCGATCGTGACTGAAATATATTATGTACATGAATAAAAATGCCATAATAAAACCCTTTGTTGTGCATGGTTTACTTATGTAATAAATCATTTTAAAAAACATATATCCTAATAAACATTTACTATCTCACAGTCAGGAATCTGGGAAAAACTTGGCTGGCAGGTTCTTTCTTGGGGTCTTACAGGCTTGACTTCTGGGCTGCAGTCATTTGAAAGCTTGGCGGAGGCTGGAGGACTCACTTCCACTGGAGCTCACTAGTGTGGCTAACCAGTGCATGCTGTCAGTTGGAAGAAGGCCTCAGTTTCTCCCTAGTGTGGGTTTTCAGGGAGCTTTTTGAATAGCATCATAATCCAGTAATCATCCCTCCACCCCAGAACAAATTGTGAGGAAGAGGAGGAGGGGAGTGGGAAGGAGAGAGAGAGAGGGAGAGAGAGAGAGAGAAAAAAAAGAAAGAAAGAAAGAAAGAAAGAAAGAAAGAAAGAAGAAGAAGAAGAAGGGGTAAGGGAGGGAGGGAGGGAGGGAGAGAGAGAGCGCGAGTGAGCACTGTTGCTGATTCACTGACTGGTCTATACTAAAGGGAAGGATAACTGGGCTTTGTTCTTTGAAGAAACAAGAATGAAACTGTGAAGATATTTTTAAAAATCAGAGTCTCTCTCTAAGTCCAGTTTTAGTAGACTAATCTCCTTGGCATCAGCCTTCCAATATATGTGCCTAAAGAGAAGTTCTCAGGCCACTGAAGTCACAGGGGTAAATGGGATCAGCTGGTAAGACCGGGACTCCAAGCTGTCCTGCACCTGCTGCCCTTAGTGTCCAGTCTCCAGTGCTCTGGCTACCATCCAAACCTAAGACTTCTGTCTTAATTATGTAAATGGACAGATTATGCCATCAAGGGCTCTGGTAAGCTAATTACTAAACAAGAAATCAATGCCACTGAAGTCAAGATTAATGAATCCCAAGGCCACCGACACTCTGACTGTAATTGCTTCAGTGAGCATCTGACTTCCACAGACCACCTAGCAAGGAAGAGAGGGCCCTGTCATTGCGAATGATTCATTGAGACCCTGTCCCAGATTTTCTTTCCAGTGGATACTGGGGCTGGAAGAATTCCTGCCATTCATCCTCCCACCCATGGGTTCTTCAATCAACTTTAAAAGCTCAGGTGCTGGAAGTGACCAAATGGACCATTACACACATTGACAGTGGGAAGGCGGGGATTTCAGCCAGTCTTTGCTCAACTGGATGTGGCATTTGCATTTGGTGGACAAAGTCAGTGCAGGGTTTCACTAGGGCCTCTTCTCCCTCTGTAGTTTGCATGTGACATCTGATTACCCCTAACTACAGGTAAGTCTGAACAAGAGGTTCCTGACCTTCCAAGCTCCTGGAGGCACAAGAGCCAGTACTTCTTCGTGGTCCCACTATTTATCCTCCCAGAGTCCTACCTTGCAAGATTCTGGATCAAACTCACTTCTTTTATGTGGGCATTTTCCCTTTAATCACAAATTTCTTAGTCTCACCTGCAGCTTTTTCCCCCCAGTGTTACTTCAGGAAATAGCCATATGCAGTTGATTTCTGCAATAATTACATAAATATTGTTGTGGATTAGGTTGGGCACATCTGCAGCAAAATGATGAGATTGTTATGCTGCCCAGAACTGCTGCCAAGACCCAAACCAAAGCATGAGAGAAACATCAATGAAGCCTGTGTTCCAATTAGATAGGCCGAGGAGCAGAGCCAACACATTCTGACAGTGCTGTTTGCAAGTCCCAGGTTGCAGGATTGACCTACCACCCAAGACCTGCCTTCTGTTCTGACCTCTTTCCCTCTACTCTCATTTATATAAGGTGAGGATAGAAAATGGTGTGATGAGATGGCTACAGAATGATTACAATTGCAGTATCATGTCCTTTGTCTACCCTGGGAGACATACATGGCCAGAGACCAGTGGCCATTTGTGGTCTAGAGATTTTTGCAAAAGAGCTATGAATGTAGCTCATGTCAGCAGAGGAGAAGAGTACTGTGTAGGGTTGCTGAGACATGAACAAATCTCTGTTCACCCTAGATAGAGTACCAAAGGCCAAAGAAACCACTGGTAGTGTATTTGAGTTACCTACAGGAGTATGGGTAAGGAGTTATTTCTAAGAATGTGGATGACTCAAAAGCAGTTACATCATCTAAAAGCCCACCTCAACATGGGCAATGAATCACAAAGCTGCATTTCTGGAGCTTCCTACACAACGTGCAGGCAGCTCAGCC